TCCCCTCTTGATTTGTTTGGACAAGAGATTATTTGAAAAAATTACTTATTTGACTGTATTATAAATATGTTTTTAATTTATTTTTTTATCTTTTTAAGTAATTTTGTCTCAAATATATCATATCTAAAAAATATTATAATAATTATTTAAAATAATACCTCAAATAAAACTTTTGTTACTGAATATGATAAACACGTGACTTCAATATCTAAGATGGTGTAATTTCGAGCGCATTATTTTTTTTAAAGGTAAAAGGATTATTAGAGCTTGTTTGCATCAAAAGTTTTTTGAAAGTTTTTTATTTAGTGTGTTTGGATAGCCAAATAATAGCTGAAAATTATTTGTTTACATCACAAAAGATAATTATTTAGTGTGTTACAATAATTATTTCAAATAATTTCCTATCCAAATACAATGAATATTATTTATTGTGACTCTTTTTTGATGTAATGTATACAAAATAAAAAATAAAAAATAAGCATATTTTGCGAATAATAAAAAGAATTTCAAACAAACCAATCCAATTGCTTTGCAATAACTTAGAAAATCAGTGATAAATTATTGCGATGTTCCTTTACCCTTAACTCATAACGTCATCCTAGCTTTTCCACACCTCTAATGTGCTACTCTAACGTTAGCACATTCAAATTATCCTCGTCAGTATAAATTCAAACATTATTAACTTTTTTTGGAATAAAATATTAGAAAGTGCAATCAAGTCGAATCAAGTTTGACTAGTGCACTCTTTTAAGTTTTTGATTCGAGTTAAAAAATTTAGACTCGAACCTGTTGAGCTCAAAATCAAACTTGAGTTGGATTTTGTTTTACTTTACTTGAGTTGAAGCCGGAGTTCATGCAAATCAAATTCAATCGAGTTTAACTCAAACTCAATTAAGTTTAATCAAACTTAATCAAATTTTAGAAATATAAATTAATATTTTATATAATTTTAAATAAATGACAAAATAGACATTTTATACTAGCAAATAGAAAACATATATACGTGAAATTTGATCGAGTTCGATGAATTTTTGACTTTCATGTATTAGGTTCGAGTTTCACTCAAATATTGGCTGAACAAACTCACGAACTACTCGATTAAATTCGACTCATTTGCATATCTGTAAAATATGTTAATAAACTTAAGAAAAGGATATTAACCGTATATTCATTTATTTGATGAAAAATGTTAAAATACTGCTTAACGAGAAAAGTGCTTGTAAATTGATTCGCTACTATTATTTAAAACGAGACGCAACGCAACTTGGGTGAAAGAAGAGCAGTGAAAAGCAAAAACACATGAATAACCTCAAATCATCCGCAGCCTAATCTTACCCCACCGAAATTATCTATTGATTAATTACTCTCAGAATCATATTTATCTATGAAGATCATTCCCAGCGTAATAGATCCCCCATGATTTGAGATTTTCGCTAAAATTTGTTTTATTCTGCAATAAATAGATGATAGCTTTCCAATCCACAGTAACTGAAAGGGCACGTGTAAAAATGTTATTAATGTTTCCAATTCCCTCCTTTGAAGATCATTCCCAAAATCTCTCCCATTATTTGAATTGGCATTCATTACTGATCGGTTTATCCAGTCTCTACTGTAACTTACACTTCGGAAAGCCCGCTTTTCAGTATCCCAGTAACCACGTACTTCCCACTCGCAATCCTATAGCGCGTGGCCAACATCCCACCAGCGAATTAGAGACATTCCCATGATAGATAGTAACCCAACCTCCACGGCCACCCCTACTGATAAGCTCATCTTCAGTCAGTCAAGAAAAGGCAAAGAGGTTACTACCACTTTTTCTTCCATTGTCCCTTTTGTTTGTTCTTTCTTTTACTCCTCAATCACTTTAATATTCTTTTGTAGTATATACTAATAAATGCGAGCGATTCTTTATCACTTTATTTCTGACTGTTACTTCGGTCTTTTGAAGCTCAACAACAACTCCAGTGGCTAAAGCAACAATTTCTGAAGAACCCATTTGCTTGAATATCCTGAAGAAGCTGATGCTATGAATTTAAGGCAGCGTCCTCAAGCTACGCCCGGCCGCGGGACACTTGACGCGCCGCCTCGACCTCCCTTACAGCAGCAGGAGCCATATAACATAATTCCCATTCATAATCTCTGGACTGGCCATCCTTCTCTCCGGTACCCAGAGGTACGGGCCGCCGTAGCCGCCCTGCGCGCCACTGAGGACCTCAAGGTGCCGTCCTTTATGCCGTGGAATGATTCCATGGATATCGTGGACTGGCTGGGGTTCTTCTTCGGGTTCCAAGGGGACAACGTGAAGAACCAAAGAGAGCACTTGGTGCTTCACTTGGCAAACTCCCAAATGCGCCTCCAACCTCCCCCAGCAAGCGTCGATCGCCTTGATTTTGATGTACTCCGCCGCTTTAGTCAGAAGTTGCTCAAGAATTACACCTCATGGTGCTCTTATTTGCGTAAAAGGTCTCAGGTTCGGCTTCCGAAACGCCGGAACTCTGCCCTTCTCCGCCGGGAACTCTTGTATGTAAGCCTCTACTTGTTGATTTGGGGCGAGGCGGCGAACCTCCGCTTTACGCCGGAATGTTTGTGTTATATTTATCATAACATGGCTGGGGAGTTAAATCACATTCTTGATGGGCATATTGATGAAAATACTGGACAGCCGTATGTTCCCTCGACTTGTGGTCAATATGGTTTCTTGAATTATATTGTTACACCTATTTACACTGCAATTAAGGGTGAAGTTGCGAGGAGCAGAAATGGGGCTGCCCCACATTCTGCTTGGAGGAATTATGATGATATTAACGAGTACTTTTGGAGTAGAAAGTGCTTTAAGAGACTGAAATGGCCTATTGATTTGTCGAGTAATTTTCTTTTGGTTAGTGGTGGCGAGAGAGTAGGGAAGACAGGATTTGTGGAGCAAAGAACTTTCTGGAATGTTTTTAGGAGTTTTGATAGGTTGTGGGTGATGCTAATTTTGTTCTTTCAGGCTGCTATGCTTGTTGCCTGGGAGCGAAGCAAGTATCCATGGCAAGCCTTGGAGAGTAGGGATCTGCAGGTGCAGCTGCTTACAATATTCATTACTTGGGCAGCCTTGAGATTTGTTCAAGCAATTCTTGATGCTGGGACGCAGTACAGTTTAGTCTCAAGGGACACGATATGGATTGGCGTGAGAATGGTGTTAAAAGGGTTAGATGCTCTCACGTGGACCGTTGTGTTTGGGGTGTTTTATGGGAGGATTTGGAGCCAAAAAAATTCTGATGGCAGGTGGTCATATGGAGCAAACCAGAGAATATTGACATTTCTGAAGGTTGCTTTAGTCTACGTCATTCCTGAGTTGTTGGCTCTGGTTCTTTTCATTCTTCCATGGATTCGAAATTTACTCGAGGAAGTGGATTGGACTATCTTTCGCTGGTTAAGATGGTGGTTTTATACCCCAATATTTGTCGGTCGGGGGCTCAGGGAAGGACTTGTTAGTAACATAAAGTACACGATATTTTGGATTCTTGTGCTGCTTTCAAAATTCTTGTTCAGTTACTTTCTTCAGATCAAGCCCCTGGTTGCTCCAACAAAGGCTCTTCTGAAGATGCATGGAACATACAGGTGGCATCAATTTTTTGGTAGCACCAATAGAACGGCTGTAATTATGTTGTGGGTTCCTGTTATTTTGATATATTTAATGGATTTGTTAGTTTGGTATTCAATATTCTCCTCTATTGTCGGGGGAGTTATTGGATTGTTTTCTCATATAGGCGAGATCCGAAACATTCAACAGCTGAGGCTTCGATTCCAGTTCTTTGCAAGCGCATTGCAATTTAATCTAATGCCTGAGGATCACACCACAGGCTCGAAAGCAACACTGGTACACAAACTGCGGGATGCACTGCATAGACTGAAGCTGCGGTATGGCCTTGGCCAGCCATACAAGAAGATGGAATCTAGCCAGGTGGAAGCAACTAGGTTTGCATTGCTGTGGAATGAAATGATAATTACTTTGAGAGAGGAAGACCTGGTCAGTGACCAGGAAGTGGAGCTAATGGAACTGCCTCCTAATTGTTGGAACATTAAGGTTATTCGATGGCCCTGTGCTCTTCTCTGCAATGAGCTCTTGCTTGCTCTCAGTCATGCAACAGAACTGGAGGATGCGCCAGATAGATGGGTATGGTATAGGATTTGCAAGAATGAGTACAGACGCTGTGCTGTAATTGAGGTGTATGATAGCATCAAATATTTGCTTTGTGACGTTATTATTAAATATGGCACAGAAGAGCATTCAATAGTCACTAATCTGTTCACTGGCATTGATGAAAGCATTCATTTTGAAAAGTTCGCAGCGACATACAAGACATCTGTTTTCCCCAAGATTCATGAACAGTTGATATCTCTCATCCATCTTTTGCTCATGCCTCAGAAGAACATGACAAAGATAGTGAATGTAATGCAGTACTTGTATGAGCTTTCTGTTCGAGAATTTCCACGGATGAAGAAATCTGTTGCACTGTTGAAACAGGAAGGTTTAGCACCTCTAAATCCTGCATCATCTGCTGATGGACAACTTTTTGAAAATGCTCTGGAATTTCCTGAAGCTGGAGACATTTTCTTCTATAGGCAGCTAAGACGTTTGCAGACAATACTTACATCTAAAGATTCAATGCACAATGTCCCAAGAAATCTTGAGTCGAGGAGACGCATTGCTTTCTTTAGTAATTCGTTATTTATGAACATGCCACGAGCTCCGCAAGTTGAGAAGATGATGGCCTTCAGTGTCTTGACTCCTTACTATGATGAAGATGTGTTGTATGGTAAAGAAATGCTTAGAAGTCCCAATGAAGATGGCATCTCAACCTTATTTTATTTGCAGAAGATTTATGAAGATGAGTGGACAAATTTTCTGGAGAGGATGCGCAGGGAAGGTATGGAAAATGATGATGAGATTTGGACCACAAAGGTGAGGGATCTCCGACTGTGGGCATCACACAGAGGCCAGACATTGTCTCGTACAGTGAGAGGGATGATGTACTACTATAGGGCACTGAAAATGCTTGCCTTCCTTGATACTGCGTCTGAGTTGGATATAAGGCAGGGATCGGACGGAAATGCTTATCTTGCTTCACTGCAGCAGAACAGCGGTTTGGAGGGACTAGATTCTCACACGGCATCAACTTCTCAAACTCTTGGCCGAGCAAGTAGCAGTGTGAGCCTTCTTTTCAAAGGTCACGAGTTTGGCAGTGCTATGATGAAATTCACTTATGTTGTTGCCTGCCAGATGTATGGGCATCATAAGGGAAAGGGTGATCCTCGTGCTGAAGATATTTTCAACTTGATGAAAAATAATGAGGCCCTTCGAGTAGCTTATGTTGACGAGGTTTACCTGGGAAGGGAAGAGGTGGAATATTACTCTGTCTTGGTGAAGTATGATCAACAACTAAAGAGAGAGGTTGAAATTTACCGTATCAAGTTGCCTGGTCCATTGAAGCTGGGTGAAGGTAAACCAGAGAACCAGAACCATGCCATCATTTTTACTCGCGGTGATGCTATTCAGACCATAGATATGAACCAAGATAATTATTTTGAGGAGGCATTGAAGATGCGGAATTTACTGGAGGAGTTTAAATCCTATCATGGTATCAGGAGGCCCACAATTCTCGGAATTCGTGAAAATATTTTTACTGGTTCTGTGTCATCTCTTGCTTGGTTCATGTCTGCTCAAGAAATGAGTTTTGTAACTCTGGGGCAACGAGTTCTGGCAAATCCTTTGAAGGTTCGGATGCACTACGGTCATCCTGATGTCTTTGACAGATTCTGGTTTTTGACTCGAGGTGGCATAAGCAAAGCTTCTAAAGTGATCAATATTAGTGAGGACATATATGCGGGATTCAATTGCACGTTGCGAGGTGGCAATGTGACGCACCATGAGTACATACAGGTGGGTAAGGGAAGGGATGTTGGATTAAATCAGATATCCATGTTTGAGGCAAAGGTTGCTAGCGGCAATGGTGAGCAGGTCTTGAGTAGAGATGTATACAGGTTGGGTCATCGGCTAGATTTCTTTCGTATGCTTTCGTTCTTTTATAGTACTGTCGGATACTTCTTCAACACCATGATGGTGGTCCTCATGGTCTACACTTTTCTTTGGGGACGCCTTTATCTTGCTCTCAGTGGTGTTGAAAACAGTGCCAAGGAAGCGAGTGACAATAAAGCGCTTGGTGCAATCTTGAATCAACAGTTCATCATCCAAATTGGTATTTTCACTGCCCTCCCAATGATTGTGGAAAATTCTCTAGAACATGGGTTCCTTCCTGCTATTTGGGATTTTGTAACAATGCAACTGCAGCTTGCTTCACTGTTTTACACATTCTCACTTGGAACACGTGCACATTATTTTGGTCGGACCATTCTTCATGGAGGTGCCAAGTACAGGGCTACTGGACGTGGTTTTGTTGTGCAACATAAAAGCTTTGCAGAGAACTATAGATTATATGCTCGCAGCCATTTTGTGAAAGCAATTGAGCTTGGAGTGATTCTCATAGTGTACGCCTCACATAGTCCTTTGGCTTCAAATACCTTTGTTTACATTGCAATGACCATCTCAAGTTGGTTCCTTGTTGTATCGTGGATGATGTCACCCTTTATCTTCAATCCTTCTGGTTTTGATTGGTTGAAAACTGTCTACGACTTTGATGATTTCATGAAATGGCTATGGTATAATAGAGGAGTTTTCATAAAAGCAGATCTCAGCTGGGAAACATGGTGGTACGAGGAGCAGGAGCACTTGAGGACAACTGGTCTTTGGGGAAAATTACTGGAGATTATTTTAGATCTTCGTTTCTTCTTTTTCCAGTACGGAATTGTTTACCACTTGAACATTACTGGTAAGAACAAAAGTATTGCTGTGTATTTGCTGTCTTGGATCTACATGGTTGTGGCAGTTGCAATCTATATTGTCATAGGATATGCTCAGGAAAAGTATGCTGCAAAGAAGCATATCTACTATCGACTGGTTCAGTTGGTTGTTATTGTGCTTATTGTACTTGTGATCATTCTGTTGCTCAAGTTCACTGGCTTTACATTTCTTGATCTTATCTCGAGTCTCTTGGCATTTATACCCACGGGATGGGGCATAATACAAATTGGTCAAGTTCTCAGGCCTTTTCTGCAGTCCACAGTAGTTTGGGGGACTGTAGTCTCCTTGGCTCGTCTGTATGATATGATATTTGGGTTAATTGTTATGGTTCCTCTGGCAATTGTGTCATGGATGCCTGGACTAGAGTCGATGCAGACAAGGATGCTGTTCAATGAAGCTTTCAGCAGGGGACTCCAGATATCTCAGATCCTGACTGGCAAAAAGTCCAACTAGGACATGTAATAACAGGTAGTTTTCTATTTCAAATTTCTCAAATACTCCTCCCATGTGGATATACAAGGACCTGTGTTGTGCAGTTCCTTGTACCCAATTGTTTGCTTCTGCTTAATCTAATTGTGTGCTTGTGCTTAATCTACTTTTTCATTGCAGTGATTTTTGACTAATTCTTCATTTGTGAATTAGGAATATTAGCTGCAACTTGTGACTACATAGGAACGAGATTGGAGGGAAGGGTTGGGTTGGGTGGTAAGGTAGGAGGGATTGTAAGTTGGAGGTCTTGAAGTTGGAGGTCCTGGGTTCAAGACCTCCCACTTACACCAAAAAAAAAAAAAGCATAGTAATGAGATTGTGTCAGATCCTTCTGGTCTTTTCCAGATATTCAAAAGCTTGGTGGACCACTTCTGATCAATTAACAATTGCCTTGGATCAATGAGAATACTAGATTGAATCTCAAACCCTGAGTTATTATTTTACTTTTCTTTACTTGGCTTTAGTGTCTTCCTTTTTCTTTGCACTTGATTCTGGAAAGTATAAGAATTGCATTGACCTGGGTAATATCTGACTCCTTTGTCCTGTCTAAGCAGGAAAGTTCAGGTTGCCTTCCTTTTGGATCTTAAATTGATACGAGTTCTCAATCTTCGAAGGAGTTTTTCTTCTGTAGCCAGACTTGTAAAGCTGAAGTACAATTTTGGGCCTAGATATGAAACCTGAATTATTGATTGATGTCTTTATTACTGTTGGTCATTTCTTGGAATCGACATAGATTTCTATGTTGCCATGATTGAAACAAAATTTAGATTGTGGTTTTCTCACAGCATGAAGTTTTGCCTTAACAAGGCTGTGGATGTTGATAAGATTATATTCATGAAAAAAATTTATAAACTGTATATTTTGTCAAATAATGAAGCTAATTTACCTGATATTCGGTCCTGACAGGCTGTTGGCACCAACCAGGATCAACTTTACATATGGGCCTTGAAGAGCCATGGCCCACTTAATTCTAGAAATCTGCCTTCTGTAATTTCCATCTAAGGTTAGAAATCCTCACATATGACTTGTCAATTGTAAAACTAGACTGTATAATATTTCCTTCTATTTCTAAACGAAGGTTCTAAAAGTTGTTTTTGGTCTTTGTACCCCAACAAGATTTGGCTGTTAGCTGGATACCAGAGTAGATCGCTTGTAGTAGGTATGATTGCCTGATAATTAAGAATTTATGCTTGTTCATTGATTCTATCCTCACAGGCAAATCAACCACAGGGTTGAAATCTGTTAATCTAATTGCCAGCCGTTATCTGACTTTAGTTCTATCCAACAAGAAGGTTAAAATTTTCCTCTTTTAGAAGCTGAAAGCATACGGGATCTAGTATGAGCCATAAGTGGAGTAGCGACATGGAATGTAATTGGCCCTATGGCGAATGCCAAGGACATGAGTGAACTGGTCATGGTTTTATCTATAAAGAGGTCAGGGATGGCACCAAATAAATGAAACTGGTTCAAATATGGGTTGTAAGCTGCTGGTCAGCGAGCGTTTCATGTAATTTAATTCAAACAAAAAAAAAACAAAGAAAAAAAAAATAGTAGTCTCAGTAATCATCATGATATTGCTATAGTGAATTCTCAATTTGTTCTTTTAATGAAGAGGGCTGTGATTATTGTTTTTGTTTCTCCTTCTTTACTGGCCCTATGATTTACAAGCGCAGTTTTTTTTTCTTTTTAATTTTCTTTGTTTTTTTCACATGGTTGATACAACTAAATGACTGATTCCGAGTAGTCGCATTTTCATTTCATGGTTTGCCATTGTTTGGCTATTTGCCGGATTAAAAGACTGCTTGTCTTTCTATTACTTAGACATGATTTTCTTCTTTCCAGGCCTAAAGGAGAAATTTCTCTGGAGTATCTCTTGGACTAATGCACTGGCAGCATGTAATTCCGATGATGGACAGTCCTGTTATATTTTGATTTTGATGCTCAGTGGTTGGGCAATAACCAGGAAGCAGTATATAATTAACTGTTAGTGGGATGATTAGTTACACGCTTATAGTTTTGTAATTAAGCAATTTGAAGAAATAGACTTGGTTTTCCTTGTTCATGTAAACATCTCTGATCTGATGCTGTACATATTTTCACATGTAAATTAAAGTAGCTTGGTGCTGTTCCAGACTACAGTTTTGTGCAAAATTTTTAGACAATTTCGATCTGCTTTTTGGAAAAGCTCCTCTTAAATTGTGCTCCTCTTATTGCCTTTTATGGACCAGCTGTTCGAGTTGTAACAGATTAGAGAGTATCACCATTTATACATTGAAATTGAAGAAAGCATTTCCTTCAGTTGGAAAAGATGATAGTAGCATCATTCTTCTTTAATGGTAGAGGTAAGTGAGTATTATTTTGAAGCAGGTTAGACCACTCTATAACGGCCTCATAGTTGGGGATCATGTTCATTTTCATTAAAAATATGATGCAATTGAAGCTACTGGAACTTGCGTCTGCAAAACAGTGCGTGGACCAAGATTGCGTACCCAGAAAAACTTGAATTTTGGCAGAACAAATGACAGAACAACCAGCGCATTTCAAGCAAACGAGTCTTTGGCAGTTGTTTCTTTTGAGCAAAACAAACACCTTGCCGGGAGATTATCGAAACACAGGAAAAAGAAGTTCAAAAGCATGCATGACTGGCTGAATGAAAATTTTTTAGCTATAAGCAATTGAAACAAAGT